GAATATATTCAGGCAATAATGATATTTCCTGAGCTACAGACCCAAAACCAACTTTACATTATTACAATAGTACATGCCATTAAAAAGAAAAAACACAGTTGGAATAAGTTTTTCTTTTCAATTCTTCCTGGTCTTTTAGGGAGGCATTGTCAAATGTGCTTTACTTGACACATTTATTGAGGTCTTCTCTTCAAAATTTAGGGTACTACGAATGTATGTTTTTAATTGATTATATGTAAATATGTTTGTTCTTGTTCTAGAACTAGTTTTTAGGTAATTTTTATGGAATTCTGGTTTTTTTCCTTCTTCAGAGGTGTTTTCACATAATTTTCCTATCTTAAGAGTATCATTTCTTACTTCTTTTCCTAGACAGCAATGCCACCCACACCTCTGTCCCTGTACCTAGGAGTCCTAGCAGCTTGTTCAGGTTCTTGCTCCACCTCCTCAGAAGTGTTAGTATAAATGTTCATAAGGTGCAGAATCAAGTGAAGCAGTGAACTGATATGGGTTCTGCAACAATTTTATCAGGAACAAGCTTAACAATCTGGTTTTCCACAACCCACGAGCAGGCTAGTGCTACCTTATTGCCAACAAAGCTGTCTTCTCTTGTAAAAATGTTAAAAATGTGTTGAAATTGCTAGCACAGTGCTACTTCTTTTTGCTTACTGTAAAATCTTGTTTGATCGAATAATAAGCTTAACATGTATTACAGTACGTAACACTCCACAGATCACACAAAGTAGCATTTTATAACATTCAGGATATTATGTGAATGTGTCTAAACTTAAAAAACAGCATATACTTTTTACCCCATCCTCATTTTGCATCAAGAACTGATGGTTTGTTCCTGGTTTGTCTCCACAAATGCACGTGATCTAAAATGTGAATGTTATCAGTAGACTTTGAAAGGAGGAGAAACTATCTGCTCCAGTTACCAAACTCCCTATGAACGTAAACCACATAATTCATGAGAGCATACTGGTGTTCATTACTGGTTCAGACCAACAGTCCCTCTAGCCTAGTATATCAAATCAGAAGCACAAGTCAAAGGAAGCCCTTTTAAAAAAGCTCTGGAGCAACTGTGTAATTGGTCAAGGTAAAGAAATTGCAGGATGTGTTGGTTGCACCACCGTCACTGGAAAAATTGCTGTAAGAAAACACCATTCCCCAAGCCAGAAGCAAGCAAACAAAACCCTCAGTGGCCACAAATGGATACTTAAGGAAGCATAAGAATGGGACAAGCACAGCTGATATTCCCTGACAAGTATTCCCCCAGCCTTTACCAATTTTAATTCAAGAATTTCCTGAGGTGAATATGGCTTCTGAAAATTTAAAAGGTCTCTTTCATGTACATGTATCATCTCCCCTTGTACCTATGTAAAATTTTTGATCCACAACTTATTTTGGCCACTTCCACACTTTATGAATCTTTTGATGATTCCCCTCCTTTTGTTTTCAACAGTTCTCATTGTATTTATTTGGAAATATTATATAGAGCTGGTGGCCACAGTGTAGGTATACATTAGAGTTACTGTACACCTCCCTGCCTAGGGAAAAACAAGTCACCTAGAAGAGCATCTAGAAAGATTTTAGATAGCAGAGGACAGCAGAGGATGTCAGTGACAATCAGTTTGCAAACATTTGCTCCAAAGCAAACAGGCACAGCTTCCTTTCAGGTGAAAACCACTTGTTTGTATCCTGGAACCAGTGTCATAGACCAGCTTTTCTAACTGTGTTAGTGAACAGCCAATGAATAAACAGAACCACATGTTCTCATCCATCATGACTTCCTATGTTGTCCTTGAAACATTTGTTTACACTTCAGACACAAACTTTGGAGCTGTTTACATTATAGTTAGAAATAAGAGGGTTACAACAAGATGATCTTTGGGTCACCTTTGAAGAAACACTGTCAACTTGAAACAATTTTAGAACAACCACACATCCATCTGAAAACACTTTTAAGATAAAATAAACCAAAACACCAATCTTTTTAAACAGCCTAACCAGCATTTATGCATTATGCACATAAATCAGTTTACAGGCTGTCACACTGCAGTAAGCTTTTATGACACCTTTAGCAAACTCTGTATTAGACTCACAGGAACAGAAGACCTGAAGTTATTTCAGACCATTTTCTGACTCTGTGCGTGATACATTGCCACTGATTTACACAATATTTACTTACAGAAATACGTCCAAGTACCTTTTAAAGTCTAGTTTATCACATGTGAATACAATTATGAAAAGTCAATAGAATATTTTAGTATTTAATATGGTGCAAACCGTGACTTACTGGTCAGCACAGAAAAGGTCAAGTTTTGTTGAGCCAGCTCACAGTGGTTAAGTCTGGTGTCATTAGTTTGGACACTTTGCCTCTACACTAGCTGCTCTATCCCTGCAGTTTTCTCCTGACACTTTATCTGAATCTTTCTGTAAGATACCAATTTTTAAAGATTGCTACAGCAGAAAAATCAACCAAAACACAGCTTTACATCAAAACAGTATAGGAAAGTTAAACAATGGTATATGTCTTTGAACATAACTGAAATCCTAGTATTTATCCCCCTGCTTCAAGCCCTTTAGGAAAAATGTGTTTCCTCGACATCTGAAAAATATGGCTGGCTTCCTGAACAGATGTGCCAAGGTGGTTGTTGACATTAAGTCTATACTTAAAGAGCATACCTTGCAGGAAAAGAATCTCCACGGCAGGATGCTTCCAGGTGGCACAGTCCTGTGTGTGCATGTACTTGCTGAACAGCCTAGGACGTGGCTTTTTTTTTGTTTTATTTTACTATAAAGACACATTGTTTGAAGATGGTTATGCTTAGAGTAGTATCTGACACCGAAGCTCAGCCCTTGGAGAAGATTTCGCAGTCCAACACTTGACGTCCTAACCTCCATGTCTTGATAGTCAACCTGAAATTTCTGAAAACCCCAAACTGCTGATCATTTGCACTGTGTGTATGAAATATACATAACATAAAATGAAGGTAAAACTTCCTCTCTTTCAGAGGAATGAGACAGATTCATTAGGCAAATCAGATGAGAAGGAACAGTAAAACTTAAGCTGTTTCTTAACACCTGGCACACACAGCTTAGTTTGCATATTAACCTGCTACATCACTGCAAAATGTGGTTCCTGGCGGTTGAAAGTTTAACTCCAGTGAAACTATCAATGAAGAGAAAGGAAGGCGCAACTGTGCGCGTTTAAATGTTGAAGAACCAAAAACCGGGAAGGTTTTGGAAAGTTTTTCCCACCTTTGTAAGCATCATGTAACAATAAAATCACTTTATCTCCAGAAGGCAACTTGACAGCAAGAGCTGAACTCGCCCTCGCAGGAAAACTGACAGGGTTGCAGCTCTGCGGGGGCAAAGGCCCCGCGTGTTTCACCGCCCGCGGCCCTGTTCCCCCGTCCCGCCCGGGCGAGGGCCAGAGAAGCCGGCCCGGTCCCGCTCCCCGCCAGCCCTGCCCCTCACCGCCGCGGCAAGGCCGTGCCAACGCCGGGCAGCGCCCGCGGGCCGCGCAAGGACTCGCCGTCGCCGACGGGGCTGGACCCGCTCTCCCTCCGGCGGGGCTGCCCGGGATAAGATGGCAGGCGAGTAGGAG